GTCTGCTTCCCAACTAACGGTCAGCTCCTGCTTGGAGTTAGATAAAGCGCCACAGAATTCAAGGGAAGTTGGACTTAGCCTGCTTGTGGCTACGTAGGGATTCTAGGCTGATTCCCCTCTTGACTCCACCCTCAGTTTTGCCAGTCCCTTTCATACAGATCTCCTTTCTGATTCTCCCTCTCCCTCCAGTCTCGTCAAGTGTGAAAGACTAGGTCCACATGGAAAGTTTCGATTAAATTGATTTATTGCTAAAAGCCTACACACAGGAATCTTCTTGACTAACGGTCAACACCTACTAAGAGTTACTTAAGCACTCAAGGAAGGGGTTGGATTTAGTTGGCTTGCAACTGCTTCCTCTCTGAGATGATTCCTCAAACCTTGCTCTATCCTTCTAACCGCGTCCGTTGATGAAGACCTTCCCCTCTTCGTGGCTTGAGAAGTGAGTTGGGGACATGAGCTTTTAACGTCCTGAATTTCTGTTTTGCAGGAGGAAGGCAGCCGTGGCCAAACAGAACTACCGCTGTGCTGGCTGTGGGATCAGGACGGATTTTGGTGAGTCCTTCCTTGACTTGGATGAGTTCTGAAGGCCCAACATTGGCCTAGACCAGGGGTGTCAAACTCAATTTCATTGAGGGCCACATCAGGGTTGTGTTTGCCCTTGGATGTGTGTGTGAGTGGGGCTGAGGCAGGCGTGGTCAGGGTGGGCGTGGCCAGCTCGATGTCACTCATTTCGGGGGCACCTATGGTGGCAAAGTACTAAGGTAGGACTTTGCTTAGACCCTCCCTCCCTCTCATTATAACCTTCCTTCCTTCCTTCCTTCCTTCCTTCCTTCCTTCCTTCCTTCCTTCCTTCCTTCCTTCCTTCCTTCCTTCCTTCCTTCCTTCCTTTTGTCTTCTTTTTCCTTCCCTCTTCATTCTCCTTCCTTCTTTCTTCCCCTCTTTCCTTCCTTGCTCCCTTCCCATCTTCCCATCTTCCCTTCTTTTTTTCTCCATCTTTCCTCTTTCCCTTTCTCCTTTCCTGCCCCTTCTTGCATGCCGAAATGCAAAAGGGGAAACATTTCTCCCTTTGGTTTTGTTTTTAGTGTGTTTGGGCTAGCTCTTTGCCAGCGAAAATGGAGTGCCCCCCGCCCTCGGGGACCCAATTTCAGCCACGACGGTCTCCTGCAGCCTTCTGCCAGCGGAAATGGAGTCCACCCATCCCAAACTCCCATTTTCTCTGGCAAAGGCCCCGCTGTCAGGATTCCAGCAACCGTGCTAATTAAATCATGATTCTCAAGCCAAACAACAAACTTCAAAGGATTTATTAGAGGCGACATACTGGCCCTGCCCTGTATGAAGCCAACTCTGGCATACATCATTTACAGTCCCCTGTGACCCTGTTTCCCCCCTCCCTCCCTGGGTGTGTCATAAATCAGATTCTCCAACTGAGCACACTCACAGGCTGGGTGTCATCATTCACGTTCTCCAATTAAATATATTCCCGGGCAAAAGCTCTGGTAGTTTAGTTACAATCTTTTAAAGATAAGAGTTGGAATGGACTTCCGCTTCCAAACCACTGCACTGCTCTTCCAGATTTCCTCCCCCCCCCCTTTTTAATGGCAACTACTAAAACAGGGATAGGAATGTTTTATGAGTTGGCACCCGCAGGCCAGCCCTTTGTTATTTCCAGGATGGTCCCACGGGCCAGATCTAAGCATCCCGCAGTCCACATCTGGTCCAGGGGCCTTGAGTTTGACCCCCTTGGCCTAGATCTTCAGGCTAATTCTTTTAATTCCAACTTTCCTCGGATCCTTGTGAGGGGTGGAACAGCAACCTCTGCCTTCCCATTCCAGTAAGGTCCCAGACCCCACTAAATATTTATTTAGACTAAATAAAAATGACAAAAAGGGGTTACAAGATTCCAGAGGAGAAGCAGGACAGATGTACAAAAAAGCTAATGAGTGTTGAAATTTTTAAAAGGGCAAGAAATGATAGATAGACATAGAATGCTTTTTAACATGGTGGTTATTCTTAATGTTAGAAAAAGAAGTAGAAAGTAGAAATTGGGAAAACAATATTAAGTAAACTGAAATGTAACAGAATATATTATGATTACTATCTATATACACAAATGCTGGAAGTTGAAAAAGTACGACTATGTATATTTAAATGGTGATATCACTGTCAGAATTGTATTCAAAATATACTGACCCAGATAATACACTAAACACTGTGGATGTTAAAGAAAAAAATAATAATCATAAGTTGAAGACTACCTGTAGAAACGGGAGTCGCACCTAGGTGGGCAGATCTCTTAGTGCCAGAGCTTTCTGCCTCGATTCTAGAACGTTCTAAGTTTGGTCCTCAGCGTTGACGGACAATCGGAGTCGAAATGCTCACCCTCTCTTAAATCCCCTTCCTCTCTTCCTTCGTCGGACGGGCCTTCAGATTACATCAAGCGGATGCGCTACTGTGAGTACCTGGGCAAATACTTCTGCCAGTGCTGCCACGAGAATGCCCAGATGGTCATTCCCAGCCGCATCCTTTGCAGGTGGGACTTTGGCAAGTACTACGTCAGCAACTTCTCCAAGGACCTGCTGCACAAGATCTGGAACGACCCTCTCTTCAACATGCAGGACGTTAACTCTGCCCTCTACCGCAAGGTCAAACCTCTCAACCAAGTCAGGGTAAGCAGGCGTCTGGGGCTTTGGGTCAGAATAATAGCATAACAGCATCGGAAGGGACCTTGGAGGTCTTCTAGTCCACCACCCCCCTGCTCAAGCTGGAAACCCTATATCATTTCCTACAAATAGTTGTCTAATCTCTTCTTTAAAACTTCCAGTGTTGGTGCCTTCCCAACTTGTGGAGGCAAGCTGTTCCACTGGTTAATTCTTCTCACTGTTAGGAAGTTTCTCCTTAGTTCTAAGTTGCTTCTCTCCTTGATTGGTTTCCACCCGTTGCTCCTTGTCCTGCCTTCTGGTGCTTTGGAAAATAGGTTGACCCCCTCTTCTTTGGGGCAGCCCCTCAAATATTGGAAGACGCTATAATGTCACCCCCTAGTTGTTCTTTTCTCTAGACCAGTGGCCCCCAACCTTTTTTGTCCCACGGCCCGGTACAAAACGTACAAAATGATCCACGGACCGGTACCGGCATCGGTACGCACGACCAAGGCAAGGCGAGCCGAGCGACCGGACGGCCAGCCGTTTCCCCGCTTCTCCTCGCCACCTTCAACTCCTCCTTCGTACCTTCTCGCGGTCGATGGGCTTTTCGGGCTCTTTCTTAATCTCCTCCTGAGTAACGCGAGACTCCACCGCCATCGGGACGGCTCTTCGTTCGAAGCCGCCCCTCCCCCCTCTTCGACGAAACTAAGGCGTGAGGATTCCTTCAGCACCCAAAACGCCGCATTCGACGACCGACGAGCTCACCCGGAAGCACTTTCTCAAGCGCCGTCGAAACAAGATGGCGGTGCCCAAGCAAAATAGGCGGCCCGGTACAAAATGATCCACGGACCGGTACCAGTCCGGGGCCCGATGGTTGGGGACCACTGCTCTAGACTAGACATACCCTGTTCTTGCAACTGTTAACAGAATAACAGAATTGGAAGGGACCTTGGAGGTCTTCTAGTTCCTGTTCAGGCAGGAAACGCTACACCATTTCATACAAATGGTTGTCCAATCTTTTTCTTCAAAGCCTCCAGTGATGAAGCTCCCACAACTTCTGGTGACAAGCTGTTCCCCTGGTTCATTGTCCTCACTGTTAGCAAGTTTCTCCTTCATTCCAGGTTGCTTCTCCTCCTTGGTTAGTTCCCACCCATGGCTTCCTGTCCTTTGGAGGATAGGTTGATCTGGAGACCCGTCCCTGATTCTTCTAAAATGGTCACCAAGTGGAAAAACCACACAGGATTGTTTTGTTAGTTGTTGATTCGGGAGCTGGAAGCTCAAACATATGGAGAAGGCTTGCAGGAATTGGGTGTGTCAGGAATTGAGTTTAATGAAGAGAAGGACCAGGGGTGACATGATAGCAGCGCTCCAATATTTGAGGAGCTGCCACAAAGAAGAGGAAGGGGTCAAGCTCTTCTCCAAAGCACTCGAGAGCAGGACAAGAAACAACGGATGGAAACTCATCAAGGAGAGAAGCAACCTGGAATTTAGGCAAAACTTCCTGACAGTGAGAACAATTAACCAGGGGAACAGCTTGCCACCAGAAGTGGTGGGTGCTCCAATACTGGAGGTTTTTAAGAAGAGATCGAACAGCCATTTGTCTGGAATGGTGTAGAGCAGGGGTGGGCAAACTTTTTGGCTCGAGGGCCTCATTGACATTTAAAATTTGACAGACGGGCCGCCACCTGGTGTCGAAATGCCTGTCATTACAAGTCAAAATCAAATGAATGCAATCATTCAATCATTCACATCAAACCTTAATTCTGTACCAATCTTCGGTGGGCCGGATTAAAAAGACCAACGGGCCGGATGTGGCCCGCGGGCCGTAGTTTGCCCACCCCTGGTGTAGAGTCTCCTGCTTGGATGGGGGGAGGGGTTGGACTTGATGACCTCCATGGTCCCTCCAACTCTGTTAATCTGTTCTCTTAATCAGCGGAAGGACCTGCCTTCAGTAGTTGTGGGAGCTTCATCACTGGAAGCTTTCAAGAAGAGACTGGACTGGCATCTGTCAGAAACAGTGCAGCGTCTCCGCCTCGGGCGGAGGGTTGGACTAGATGACCTGCAAGGTCCCTTCCAACTCTGTCCATCTGTTAAATTCCTGTTCAATGCCACGGGAAGCATTAACACCGCTTTATAAAGCCTTAGTAAGAAGACACCTGGGATACGGCATCCAGTTTTGGTCATCGACACATTACAAAATGGCATAGGATCTCCTGCTTGTGCAGGGGGTTGGACTAGAAGACCTCCAAGGCCCCTTCCCACTCTTGTTTCCCCACAAACCATGTCTTCTTGGTCTCTTCCAGCTTTTAAGGATCCAGCTGTACCACATGAAGAACATGTTCAAAACGTGTCGCCTAGCTAAAGGGTAAGGATTCCAGGAAACATTTTTGGAGAGTCCCATCATCATCGTAGAGTGAGAGTAAGCTGTGAGCAGCCGGGAGTTGGTGCCACAGCCGATGGCACAGTGGAGATGATGGCTGAGTGTGCAGCTTGGTTGTTTTCTTGCAGGTGTGAGAAAGCTGTGAGAAAAGGCAAATTCCACTTTCAGGAATGTTGAGAAATGTAACGTCCTCATACAGATTTATGATCCAGTTATATCTGGACAATACTGTCACAAACAATCTGTAGTTTTATTTCTGATAGAAGAGAATATTTGCAGCTCAGGGTTGAACTGAGGGGTCTTTGGTACTCTCTGAGCTCAGTGGTTTTCCTGCAGACATTTCATGACCCAACTAGGTAACATCATCGATGTTAGGAGGGAGTGGGATTTGTGGAGAAGAGGAAGAGAGGACTGTCATAATTATGGGCCAGATTCCAAGTTCCCAAAATACAGTCACGTCAACATGAGGGTTGATTGAAGTCAAAACTTTAAAACCAGGTTGTAAGTCCCCATTTAGGGGTCCATTTTAAGTCTGAAATGAAATCAAACTTGTCCTGACATATCATCATATTATTCAATCTCATAACTTTAAAGTAAGGTCTCTCTAAGACCTGGTGAGTGGAGCCTCACAATTTAAATTTAAATTTTGGGAGAGGTTAATGAGAGACATAAGATTTAAATTCTGTATACTGTTTGCATGCTTTTAATATTTTATTTGTGCAGAGCCCAGAGTTCATCAGTGAGGGAGATGGGTGGTACTTAAATATGATAGATAGATAGATGATAGATAGATAGATAGATAGATAGATAGATAGATAGATAGATAAGAGATAAGAGAGAGATTATCACCTAGATATAGATAGATAGTTATAGGTAGATGATAGAGAGGTGAGAGAG